CCCTGCTGGAGAGGTCCTTTCCCTTAAGAAGCCTGACCCAGGGCCGGGCGTGGTGGCTCAAGCCTGTAATCCCAGCACCTTGGGAGGCCGAGGCGGGTGGATCACGAGGTCAAGAGATAGAGACCATCCTGGTCAACATGGTGAAACCCCGTCTCTACTAAAAATACAAAAAAATTAGCTGGGCATGGTGGCGCGTGCCTGTAATCCCAGCTACTCAGGAGGCTGAGGCAGGAGAATTGCCTGAACCCAGGAGTCGGAGGTTGCAGTGAGCCGAGATCGTGCCGTTGCACTCCAGCCTGGGTAACAAGAGCGAAACTCCGTCTCAAAATATAAATAAATCAATAAAAATAAAGAATAAAAAGGAATGAAAAACTCTGAGGAATATGGGATTATGTAAAAAGACCAAATCTATGACCCACTGGTGTCCCTGAAAGAGATGGAGAGAATGGAAACAATCTGGAAAACATATTTCAGGATGTCACCCGTGAGAACGTCCCCAGGCTAGCTACAGAAGCCAACAGAAAATTCAGGAAATGCAGAGAACCCTAGTAAGATACTTCACAGGAAGATCATCCCCAAGACACATAATTATCAGGTTCTCCAAGCTTGAAATGAAAGAAAAAATGTGAAAACCAGCTAGAGAGAAGGGTCAGGTCACCTACAAAGGGAAGCCCATCAAACTAGCAGTGGACCTCTCAGCAGAAACCCTACAAGCCAGAAGAGATTGGGGGCTGAGGCTCAACATGCTTTCCCCCCCATGAGTCATAGGGTATGATTAACATTCTTAAAGAAAAGAAACTCCAACCAAGACTTTCATATCTAGCCAAACTAAGCTTCACTGGTAAAGGAGAATAAGATCCTTTGCAGAAAAGCTAATACGGAGGGAATTCATCACCACCAGACCCGTCATCTCTCGGAATTCTGATTTTATAGATCACATCTGGCATTGCACCAGGTGGAATTCATGAAAAATGTGAGGAAATATTACTGCTAATTAGGCAAGCCTGATGCTCTAACGATTGTCAAAAACAAAAATGAAAAAACAAAATGCTAAACCCCTGTAGCAGTGTTTCCTTATTCATTTCCTCCCTCCATCCCCTCTGCCACGAGATTCCTGGGAACAGCCTGATACATATTCCTCTTCCCTTCCAGATGCAGAATTGGGTGTTCTTTGCCTGGGCTTTTGCCCTGCCCACACCCAGCAGGTGCACGGCTCAAAAAGTGGGAAAAGGAACAAAGGCAACCAAGGCGAAGGAGGCAGAACCTCCACAGCCAGCAAAGAAGCACTGTCTCCCAGCAGGTTAGGCAGCCCTAAGCCATGCACCCCAGTATTTGGGAGATGAAGGTTCTTCCCCACTTGTGTGTTTCCAAGCAGGGTCACGTTGTGGTTAAGGGTATGGGTTGGCAGCCAGAATGTTTGGGTTTGAATCCTGGCTCAGGCACTTACCTTGGATAAGTAATTGAACCCCTCTGTGCCTCATCTTCCCCCTCTGTACCTGCCTCCAAGAGTTGTTATGAGAATAAAGGAATTAATGCATGTAAAACACTTAAAACAGGGCTTACTACATATTAATCACCCAGTAAATGTTAGCTATTATTATCATCTTGAAAAAGCTCCAACTCAGAATTATAATGAACATCATTATATTATACTGTCCTCTATTGCACCCCTTGAAACTACATTGCAGGCAAGAAATTACCAAGTCTTCTGATAATTTCTTTCTTTTTTTTTTTTGTGAGACAGAGTTTCATTCTTGTTACCCAGGCTGAATCATCAAGAAAAGGAAATTCCATTTATTCCTGTCAGAAACGTAAATCAATATCTGGTCTTGGGAGATGAAGAGAGTCGGATCCCATTCTCACCCAAACGCCGTCATCAGTACTGATAAGCCAGTGGGTTTGGGCTGCCTTGTTAGGATCAGTTGGTGCTGCAGGAGGAAAGGGTTTATCTGGTTTGTCATCTTTTTGACAAGCAGGCATGGCTGCTCGGAAATGTTCTGCTTGACTCCCTCGATCTTCCAGTTTGACGGCTCTTGCTCTTTTCAGATTTATCTGGCTTCCCATCTCATTGAAGAATATCCCAGCCACACTCTTCCCGGGGTTTCACTGTTCTTCCTTGCTCAGTCAATGTTCATCTACTTTAGGGGCTGATGGTGCTAACACTGTTGCAATCCTGGGTGACTGCTACAGATTGCAGGTTGGATTCAAGTTGACTTCACATATGTTTCACACTTTTTGGACCAGTGGCCAATAAGAATACATTCATCTCCTGGTGGATTGCTGGACTTTAAACTGTCGGTTCCTCCAATCATAGTCCAGGCAGGATGCTTTCAACTTTCCTCACCCTCTGGTCTCACATCCTGATGTTCACAGTGGGGTTACTGAGAGTGAAGAAACTTACACATGGGTTTGTTTACATTTTCTTTCTTTTTTCTTCTTTTGGTGTCTTCCACATGTTACACATGAATGCACACAATTTTATATTAAGAGAAAACATTAAGTCAGGAAACCAAAACATTTAAATACAGAATCTTTCAGAAGACACACAGTGAATTACCAGGAACTAAAGATAGAACTCACATTCCTAAACTCCTAGATTTTTAGCCCAAAACAACTCCGCATAACAGAGAGAGGTGTTGCTACTCTTCAACTTACCTTTGCTCTGGAAAGAAAAGCTGTGACAAATCTCTCAGTTAAGAATAGATAGATAGATAGATAGATAGATAGATAGATAGATAGATAGATAGAAGGGATGAAGGGATATAAGAATAAGTGGGTGGATAGATGGATGGATGGGTGGATGGATGGATGGGTGGGTGGATGGATAACTATAGATGGGTATAACTTGGGGGAGGAGAGCGAGGGCCTCTGAAGGTACAGGATACAATTTGGCCTTAACTAATCACAGCCATTCATTTTCACAACCTTGGGAATATGGTTGCTCCTTAGCCCACATAAGCTTATTAAGAGACTATTCTAAGAAATTTAGCTACAGTTTTAGCAGACAAAGCCCGGGAAAGCTTCACCAGAGAGTTCTCCAGCACAGCAGTGCTCTGTTAATTCCTGTCCTTAATTCAATAAACAAGGGAATTTTGCAAAGGTTTTAATGGAAAATAACTACAGCGCTGATTTGCCTCCTTCTGAATTCTTATTGTTTCCTAATATTAAAAAGAAACTTTTAAAGGGCACCCATTTTTCTTGAGCAAATAACATAAAAAAGACTGCCTTTGCAGGTTAAATTCCCAGGACCTTTAGAGTTGGACTAAATGACTGGTATATTGAGAAAAAAAAATTGTATTTTATATTTTTATCTTTTAATTTTATTTGTTCCATGAACTCTTTGAAGTCCTCTTGTATAATTATTCCTTTGAAAAACAAATGCAACTGAGTGGGTGAATCTAGAGGTTGGGGCTTAAACAAGTGACTTCACAGAGGTTCTGGCCTGAGCTCTGAATTTTGCAAGTATGATTCCTAACTGTTTTATAGACAATTTCTCCTGGAACAACTTAAATGTAAAGGTAAGTAGTACCTTTAGAAGGTGCATTATAGTGATAAAAGATACTGATTACTTATGAAAAAAGGCAGAGTCTACCGTTCTTATACTGGCCAGAGCTATGGATGGTGGCTCCAAGCTCTTTCAGCAAATCTTTCTTTTCTTATTAATCTTGACAACTTTTTCCACCAGTAAAAATTCACCAAGAGTCTAGCGAGATGAAGAAAGATGCCAGGAAGAAGAGAAACGCCAGGAAACAGAAGCCCACACAATCATGAGAAGATGGGGCCTGCTGGCAGAGCTGGGGCTTGGCCGTGGTCACTCTGGAGCCTGCCCTTCCCGAGTGGTGGAAAGACAGCGATAATATGAAGCCCACACAAGAAGCTCAAGCAGTAACATAGCAAGAGGGAGGACAATTCAAAGGGAAGAGGCCCATGGTCTTCTTTCTCATTGTAACTTCTACTGTCAGGCAAGCCCCTTATTTATAAGGAACATGACTGTGTTTATCTCCAAAGTTCTCACCCCCAGATTAAAGTTTTCAGAAAGACTTAGGCCATCAACAGTTAGAGGAGAAGTTGTACTAATGTGTGAGGGATGCATTTTGGCCATTAATTTGCGGTCCAGTATTTTGTTTATGTTAATGATTCAGTCTCAGAAACCATTACAAGTTTCTGGTATCCCAACTACTCTTACCTGGGGAAAAGAGGAAGTTCTTTCAATTGGAAATTGTGTTCACCTGGCATAAGGAAAAAGTTGGTAAAATCTAAAGGAATCCTGAAACTTATTGATAAAATTGTGCTCAGTCCCTCTCTCCAGTCCCCTTATGCCCACCATGGTCCATAGCTGCAGAGCGTCCCTCAGAGGCCCCTTTATCTAGTTCTGGTGACAAAATGTGATCAGCTCACAGTGGATACCACCTTAAATGCTGATGTCCCTCTAAGTCACTAGGGGGAAATCGGGGCCTGGAAACCAGATTCACTTTAATGGACATCAAATATTTTGAGAAAGTGAGAAACTCAAGAATGACAGCTCACAGCTGGCAGCTAACCCAGAGGTTCCCAAGGAACATCAGAGATATTCCCACAATACAGAGAGGAAAGGTCATGCCGTCCATGTCTGAAATAAGACAGTGACTAGGAGACTCAACAGCTATACATTCCTCTCTTCTCCTAACAAAAATAACAACTGCTTCTTTACCAACGACTAGATAACCAATCATTAGTTGCACCCACTTCCAGGCAATATCCAATCCAGACCAGTCCTCTCTTCCTCAAACCCTCTTTAGACTGGCCAAGGACAATTCCATGGTTCCTTTGCAGTGCAATTCCCCTGCCCAATAAATTGAACTTCTTTTTCTTACAGATGTGCATGTGATTGTCTTTGTCTCATGAGCTTTAACTCGCTGTGGGCATGTGTTGCTTTGGAGCAGCCCAGCATTGAGTTCCACTTCTGAAAAATGCGTTGACGTCCCTTAAAGAGTTGGATGCCAGTCTAGAAGGATTCGTATCTGGGCCTCTTCTAGTCCAAGGTCAGGCATGTGCCTTAGCTTAAAAAGTAGACACGCTCCCCGGGATTTGAAACCTGAGTGAGAGGCACAGCACCGGGTTTGGTGTCCAGGACAGACTGGCCGTGTTGCAACACCAGTGACGTGCTTCCTGCTTCCTGGTCCTCTAACCCTGCCCGGTCCTAGCCAAGGCCTCAACTTTCTCACTGAAACGGGAGAAGTTCCCTTATCCTCGTCGCAGGGCATGTGATGGGGTATGACTCGCTGTGTCCTTGCACTGTGGCTCAAACCTCTAGGGGGAGGCATGCAGTCAGGCAGTCTGTGGGGCTCCCACCCCACGGCAGCATCTAGCCGTGAATGTTTACAGCTGAAGCCCCAGTGGGTGGATGTTACAGTGTGCTCTTCCACTTTATCCGTGGGTCCACAGGCAGCCTGCCTTAGAGCCCCTGCCTTATCTTCCGCCATCCGCTGTTCAACGTTGGTGTGTTCTTCCATCAATATGTTCCTCTTGACATCCAGCTGCTTGTGTGTGTGCCTACCGAGGTCTAAGGGATTTTATAGGCACAGGATGGGGGTGTGGCAGGTCAAGGTGGTCTTGGGAAATACAACATTTGGGCACTGAAACAGAAATACCTGTCCTCACCTAGTTCCGTGGGCATAGGCCCAGGGGTAAAGCCCTCACCAGAGACCCTCCCAGCATTTCCTTGCCCCTCTTCTCGTATCACCATCAATGCAGTAACTCCTTTCACTTAATTGAGCCAGGTTCGATTTTGTTCTTGCTTTTCAGCAGAAAGCGTGCAGATGCACAGCTGTCATCTGAACAGTGGTACCCACTCTCCACCTGAACGGAGGAGCTCATTCTGCATCAGGGTGGGTGAAAATGCCTTGGATTGATCCACTCCCGGGGCTGGGGCAGGGTCTCTCAGGCCCCTGGAATGTTATTTCCATCATTTTATTAACCTGGAAAATACGTCCTTTTATTCTGATTGTGTGGTCACCAGCAACCGCTGATTTTTAATATGGGTTCTCATGCACTCGGATAAGAGGGTCCCTGATGATCAGGCACCAACTCCTTGTCACTGAGAAACAAGGGCTCCTGTTTGTCAACGAATGCCTTGACATTGAGCTTTATCCCACAAGGGGGAGTTGGTTAACAGGAGGTGGTTACTCTGTGCAGAACAATATGTGTGTTCTGACAAAATCAAATCACCAGCTCTGCAAACCCACAGATCTCACAGGCTGGGTTTGAGCCACTAAAGAATGCTGCCTCCATCACTGCTGGCTGCCCTCCATGGCATTTCTATCTGTGACAACTGCCACCAGCTACGTCTGCTGGACGTCAACATCCCAAACAGACACTAAGCTCTGTGCAGAGTTTTTCTCAAATGTTCTTTATACTAGGGTGACTTGATCCAAAGGGATTTCAGGATAATACACGGAGATCAGGAAAGATTATGCTATGGTTCATCTCTTCCTTTTGTCATGGTGACAAGCTCTGGTGCCCACCTATGTCTGCACTGGGCCCTGCTGTCATGTTTCAGGGTAGAAAGCAGGCTCTGTCTGTGCCTGGGAATCCTCGAGTTAGTTCCCAGAGTCAAAGCACCTCCCATTGCCTTTAGAACTGCTCAGGATGTTCTTGGAAATATTTTACTTGTACTCAAGAGCATTTGTTTTTGAAATTGGGTCTGGTATACTAGTTAAAGCACAGAGTGCCAGAGTGTGACACCTGACACCACCAGTCACTAGCTTGACCTTAGGCAACTCACCCAATCTGTGCCTCCCTTTCCCCATCTGAAAATATAAATAATGGTAGGACCTACCTCACAGGGCTGCTGTCATGTTTAAATGCATTAATAGATGTAAATTCCCTAGGACAGGTACCTACATTCCTACAACTCATTAAGAATTATGTGTTAGCTGTTATTCTATAATTGCCCGAGAGTAATATGTGTAAGCCATAGATTTCTCAGGGTTTTCTGGCTTCTTTGAAAATAAAGGGAAACTGTGGCATTGGGAAATTGGCACAGCAGTGGGCCTTGGTCTAATGGGTTTATAGGTGAAAAGATTCTATTTGAAAAGTTTCTCAATTTCCATACTGTAAATGCTGTTTTGTTAGTTAACTGTTCCATTTTAAAATTTGCAACCCCCCTCTCTCCACATATATAACATGTGACATGTGAACTCCACAAAGGCTGCCATGTGTCAACCCTGTATCTCCACTGCCTGAAATGGTGCTTTGGGACACAGTACCTGCCCAGTAACATCTGTACATCTAAATTAAATTTAAATATTGACCTTTCATCTCAGTGAACACAAGAGGTTTTGAAGTGATCATTGGTCAACATTATCTGAGTTTTCACAAGACCTCAGTATACTTGGCAAAGCATTTCATAAGTGATAGACAAGGCATCCACTTTAAAAGCAAAATTCACAGAGCGTTCTACTGGATGGGGCTGCTCTAAAGAATTCATGCTTCTGTCTGGAAACTTGCAGTGTGGCGATTCTTAAATCATGGAGTTCTCATAAGCCAAAGAGATTGAGTGCATTTTTGAAAAATGAACTCGAGGACAGGGCCTGAGTTGATGCAACCCGGCTCTGCAGGACACTCCTACCCCCGGTGCCCTCACTAGAACAGAGGCCCTTCATGGTTTCTGATGATGGTGCTAGCTCCCAAAACCAGGCTTCCAGGCTCTCTGGCCCCCAAAACAAGTATTAGGAATGACCAGGAAATCACCCCAGGGGACTCGCACTGAAGCACAGAGGCCCGTCATGTCCCCAAGCCCTGATGCTGCCATATTCTGTACATACCCGGTCAAGCATGAAGAGGTCTACCCCTTGCCCTGTGGAGAGCGCCACCAGCGTTGTGCCACCCTCTAGGGCATAATCTGTGGCCACATTGTTGTGGCCAGGCTGCAGGGTGTCCCTTTCAGAAGGCTTATCCTCTGAGGTCTGTGGAAGAGAGGAGAGAAATATCGTATGTTATTTTCTTAGGAGAGAACCCTTTGTCAGAGGCCTGGGATTCAGATATCCTTGAACCACTGAAGGAAGTGCAGTTCTTAGAATTTTAAGCTGCCACAAATCTATCCAGAGGAAATGAGTTGCTATGTTACTGACAATTCTAGCTGAGCCATGGCAAAGGCCATTTTGGGACTTCTTCCTACATATTTTCCAAATGCATGTGTCTGCAGCCTGCCAAGAAAAGCACTCCTAGATAAAATCACAGCCCTTCTTCGTCATAAGCCGCACTCCTGAGTCAGTATAGTCACACCTCACGTATCACTGAGCTGAGGGTGCAGCGTCTTATTCTGCACACTCAACATCCTCTGAAGTATGTAGGGCTGTCACCTCCGTGGCTCAGAGGGAGAACTCTGAGAACAAAACAACCTGAAATTAGCAATCTACTGCAGCTGGAGTAGCTGCACAACTTACTCAGCAGCAGGAAGCCCTGACTCTGGCTTTCTCTCTGACTCTGTGGATGCTCCTCATTTGCTTCTCTTCCCCACAGCTCCTCTTCCTCCGGCTCTTTAAATCTTGGTGTTCTTCCTAGTTTTTACTGTAGCCCTTGGTGCATCCAGCCAGTGGAAATGGTTCTTCCTCGCCTCCTTATTCAAAATTAGGACTCTTGGCTGCTATGTTTATATTGAGTCATGCCACCACCCACCACACACACACACACACACACACACACACACACACACACACACACACTTGATGGCATAGGAGATAGAGTCCTGACCCAGAGTGACCCAATCAGCCTCTCTCTTCCAGAAAGGTAGAATTAGAGGACAATCTGGTGATGTAGAGTTAGAAGCCTTGTAAACCGGAATGGTCTCACCCTCCATGCTCTGACCTCATGGTTTGGTCTTCAAGGTGCTTGATGCAATGAGCACTCAGCGATTTCTTTGAAGTCCCCAACACATTTTCATTCATGGGTTTAGTGTCTGACTTCCCAGCTATACTGTAAGCAACCTGAGGGAGATACCCACTCCGTCTTATTCATAACACAATCTGGGCCATGATGGTTATATTTAATTAACACATACGCACACACAGATTCATATATATGTAAGTTTACACACACACACATAAATATATACATGCATACCTGTAGTGGTTTTCAGCATAAGAATCCTATACTTGATTTTAGAGTTATACTATTCAATTTTTTTTTTTTTGAGATGGAGTCATGCTTTGTCACTCAGGCTGGAGTGGAATGGCATGATCTCTAGTCACTGCAACCTCTACCCCCTGGGTTCAAGGATTTCTCCTGCCTCAGCCTCTCAAGTAGCTGGGACTACAGGCATGTGCCACCACATCTGGCTAATTTTGTATGTTCAGTAGAGATGAAGTTTCTCCATGTTGGTCAGGCTGGTCTCAAACCCCTGACCTCAGGTGATCCACCTGCCTCAGCCTCCCAAAGTGCTGGGATTACAGGCATGAGTCACCTTGCTTGGCCCTCCAATTTTTTTTTTAACTGATTGTTAATAGTACATATTTTAAAATTTAATTATTATTATGAACGAGTTTATTGCTAATATATAGAAATCCAGTTGGTTTTGTATTTTGGTCTTGTATCCTGTGACCTTGCTGAACTCACTCGTTCTAGGGAGTGTTTTGGGTTTTTGTTTGTGACGTCCTAGGGATTTCCTACATAGATTATCACCCCATCTGCAAAGAAGGACAATGTTATTAACTGCTTTCCAATCTGTTTCCTTTTCATTATTTTTCTTGCCTTATTGTGCTGACTACAACTTCCAGGACTAGGTATGCTGAGTAAAAGTGTGAGGGAGGATATCCTTGCCTTGCTCCTGATCTTAGAGGATAAGCATTCACTTTTTCACCATTAAATATAATGCTAGCTATAGATTTTTGTAGATGTACCTGATAGAGTTGAGGGGAGCTCCTCCTCTATTTCTTGTTTGCTAAGACTTTTTTTTTTTTTTTTCAGAGACAGGGTTTTACTCTGTTGCTCAGCCTGGAATGCAGTGTTGGGAACACGGCTCACTATACCCTCCAACTCCTAGGCTCAAGCTATCTTCCCATCTCAGCCTCCCAAGTAGCTGGGACCACAGGCATGTACCACCATCCACCTCTCTGACTAATTTGGTTTTGTTTTTTTTTTTTTGAGATGGTGTCACGTTATGTTGCCCAGGCCGGTCTCAAATTTCTGGCCTCAAGTGGTCCTCCCACCTCAGCGATTTTCTTTTTCAAGTCATGAGTGATTTTTGAATTTGTTCAAGTGATTTTTCTCCATCAGTTGATGTAATTATATGATTTTTCTTCTTTAGCCTGTCGATATGGTGAATTACACTGACTGATTTTGAATACTAAACCAGCCTTCCATTACTAGACTAAACTCCACTCAGTCATGTTGTATAATTTGTTTTATGCGTTGTTGAATTCTAGTTGCCAATATTTTGTTTAGGGATTTTGCATTTACTGATTTTTTTAACCATTGTTACCCAAACACCAGGGGTTTGGTCTAGGTCTTGCTGCTTATGAGACAAAAAGGTAGTCACTGAGACAGCAAGTATTGCAAAGGAAGAAGGCTTTAATCAGGTGCTGCAGCCAAGAGGATGGGAGCTCAGTTTCAAATCCATCTCCCCGACAGACTAAAACTAGGGGTTTATATAACAGAGAAGAAATGTGACAATGTGTAAGAATATAGGAACTAGAAAGTGGCAAGGAAGAGTCATGAGGAGTGAGGGCTTCAGGTTTCTCATTGTCAGGATGGGGTGATCTGGTGAGTTTCAGTTCTCTATACTCTTTTTGTGAGGTCTGAATGTCCTTTTCTGAGAAAAGAACTCAGATAAAACAAATGTAAGCTTCAAGCTTTAAGAACAAAAAGGTCGTTTTCTGTGTTTCTCCAAAAGAACCGTCTATGATATTATTGGGTCAGTTTTACTATCACTGTCTGGTTTTTGCATCAGGGTAACGCTGGCTTTATAAAATGAACTGGAAACTGTTCCTTTCTCTTCTTTTTCTCTGGAAGAGATTGAATAAACTTTGAACATTTAGTATAATTTTCTAGTGAAACATCTGGGCCTGCAGACTTCTTATTTGAATTCTATTGTTTAATGGTTGAGCCCTGAAACTAGCCTTTCACATTATCTATTTGATACTGGGTGAGTTAGAGTACTGTGCTTTTTGAGAAGTTGGTCCATTTCATCTGAGTTGTCAAATTTATGTGTGTAGAGTTGTTTGTAATATTCCCTTCCTATCCTTTTGATGGCTCCTAACGTTTTGAAAAACAAAACAACCTGAGATTAACAATCTAGGTCATAAATACATGATTCTCTGATGGTTTTCCCAACAGAAATTCCAAATAATTTAAATGAGAGAGAGAGAGAGAGAGAGAGAGAGAGAGAGAGAGAGAGAGAGAGAGAGAGAGAGAGAGAGAAGCAAGCAGAGAGAGAAAAGTAAGCAGAGAGGGTTTGGAGAGAGAAACTGCACCTTTAATTCTGGCCGGCCCACGCCGCTTACGGATGGGCTGGGCTCTGACCGCACAGCTCCGATTGGGTTTGAGCCGCACGGAGGGAAGGGTCAGCGGGAAGGCCTGAGGGAGCGGACGTGCGGCGGGCGGACCCTGGGTTCTGCCGAGAGGGTCCCGGCGTCAGGCAGCGCGATCCGCGGGGAAACTTTCGCTCCCCTGAGCCCCGGGGCCGCCACACGCAGACCATGCTCACCGTGCGCCTGACTTCCCGCTGTTCAGGGTCGTTCCCTGGGCGGGCTGCCGCCGGCTCTGGCCCAGCTCCGGAGTGCTGGGCGGCCGGGCCTGCGGGTGCCTTTACAGCACACAGCCAGCCGGCCCAGGAAGGGCGGCCTCCCTCCCTCGCAAGGGGGCCCAGCTTGAGCTGAAGGAGATGCTGGTCCCCAGGAAGATGTCCACCAGCCCCCTGGAGAGCTGGCTTACGGCCCGCTGCCTCCTGCCACCTTCCATCTCCTCACTCACTGCCCCCTCTGGGGAACGCCCCAGTTAGGAGACCTCCCTGGCATGGACCATCTAGGTTACCTGGTGCAAGACCTTTGGGATTTGACTCTTATCTCACCATTTACATACCAAGTGACCTTTGGCAAGTAGTCTGACCTGAGCGTCCATTCCATCATCTGAAAGATGGAGAGCAGAATCCCTATTTCATGAGGATTATTATAAAGATCTGACGAGGCAAAGCCATCTGTGCAACAGAAATATAAATTCAATCATATAATATAGATTAACTGCACATGTCATCCTAAAACTTTTTAGTAGGTACATTTTTAAAAGTAGAAACATTCATTTTTCAATAATGTATTTGATTTAAACCATTATCACTTTAATATGCAATCAGTCTGTCAACATTGAGATATTCGGCATTCTTTTCTGGAACTAAGTATTTGAAATCTAGTGTGTATTTCATACTTACAGCGCATCTCTGCGTGGACGTGTGGCTAGCGCATTAGACAGGGCTGGTCCACAGCCTGGGCATGGTACTTGGCACCAGCCTTGGGAAAGTGACCAAGCTCCTGGCCTCTGGAGCCAGGCTTGTGGGATGTGCATTTCCACCTCTTCCATCTCCCACCTGTCGATTTGGGGAGCAAAACCTCATGCCTCCATGTCAAGGAAAAACGGTTGCCGCTCTGTAGGGTTTTTGAGGATTGACAGAATGTACCACTGAGGGCCCCTGGCCCTCCCACACACATAGCAGGTCTTCATGGAATCCAGGTGAATTCTGTGCTGAGCCATAAAGACAAGGAAGGCCTGGAAGGCCCGTGACCATGCTGGCTGTGATGCCTCCTAGCTGACCTCCCCCTCCCCTTCTCTCTCCCCCCAACCGCCCCCACTGGGCAAGAGACCCCTCACCTGTCCAACCTCTTGTGTTGCAGCTTGCCCTGTGCCACTTTTTCTTCAACATCTCCGGTATCTTACTGTGGTACCCGATCCCGTTCACTCGCCTGCCCATCCGCATGGCCAAGGGGCTGGGCAACATCTCTGCCAAGTATCGCTGGTTCACAGTCTTCTACCTGATCGTCTTCTTCTTCCTGATCCCGCTGACGGTGTTCGGCCTCTCGCTGGCCGGCTGGCCGGTGCTCGTGGGCGTCGGTGTGCCCGTCCTCTTGATCGTTATCCTGGTACTGTGCCTCCGCCTGCTGCAGTCCCGCTGCCCACGCATCCTGCCCAAGATACTCCAGAACTGGCACTGCCTGCCGCTGTGGATGCGCTCGCTGAAGCCTTGGGACGCCGTGGTCTCCAAGCTGGCCGGCTGCTTCCAGCTGCGCTGTTGCTGCTGCTGCCGCCTGTGCTGCCTACTTTGTGGCTGCAAGTGCTGCCGCTGCAGTAGGTGCTGCAAGGACTTGGAGGAGGGGCAGGAGGCGCGGGGGTGGGGGGGGCCGTCAAGGCCCCTGAGACCTTTGACAACATAACCATTAGCAGAGAGGCTTAGGGTGAGGTCACTGCCCCAGACTCAAAGACCGAATGCACGGCCTTGTAGGGGGCCGCCAGGGTCGCCAGGGGTTGTGGGGAGGGACCTTGGGTCCTGCGTGCTCTCCTCCCTCCCACTGCTGCCCCCTTTCACCACCTCAAGGAGATTTGCTTCAAATTAGTGGATGAAATTGATACACTCCCACCTAACTTGATTCCCTGTGGCTTGGATAGGCCTGCAGGGCAGTTTGATTCCAGCCCCTGGAGACTCAGTAGTCTGTTACTCCAGGAAGACACAGGACGATACCTAAAGAGAATTAGAGAATGAACGTGGCTGGAAAGATCGCTAATCCTACACTTAGCTGGGTTGGTCAGTAGAACTTATTTTCAGACTCGAAAACCATCTTCAGAAAGAAAAGACCCAGGGAAGGAAGGTATGGGAGGCTTCCCCAGTTGGGGAAGTCTATTCTCTATGACTATCAAGCTCAGGCCTCTCTTTTTTTTTAAACCAAAGTCTGGCAGCCAAGAGCAGCAGCCCCATGGCGTCCTTGATGGTGATCAGCCCCAGGGAGCATCTGCTCTGCTAATGGTTAGGTTGTCAAGGGGTCTGGGGACACAGCGTCATTATTTGGAAACTGAAGGTCACAAGTGTGGGTCCGTCCCACTTCCTAGTACTCCCACATTTCCCATCAGGGTTTCCTCACCTGGACAGGTGTGCTTGTCCGAGCAGTTCACCCGCAGTGTCCTTGTCCTCACGCTTCGAGGATGGGAGCCACACCTGAACTACAGAGAGTTCAGGCTGGATATCGCACCCACCTACTGCTCTTGTCTTAGGAGACAGAGAGAGTGGGGTAGATGGAGGAGAAGAGAGTGGGGAATGAGTAGCTTGGCATTCAGGGGATAGGTGTATCTGCCAAAAGGGCCCCAGGTTCTGAATTTAGCGAACTTAGAAGTCAAATTAAAACGCATTGTGGCTAAAGCCTAATGCTCCTCTCTTGGTCAGACAACAAAAACCCTCCCTGTTGGATCTTTTGAAATAAAACATGCAAATTCTCCAGCCTGCATGCTGCCACCTTGAATCCCAGGGAGTATCTGCGTCTGGAATAGCTCCTCACCCCTCTCAGCCTCCTCACTTTCTGTGCAAGATGACTTCCTAGGTTAACTTCCTTCTTTCCATCCCCCACCAACTGGAATCTCTTTCCAAACATTTTTCCATTTTCCCATAGATGGGCTTTGATTAGCTGCCATCTCCATGCCTGCAAAGCTCCAGACTTTTCTCAGGGCGGGAAAATCTGCTCCCAGTTGGACTGCCCGGTGAAGTGAGATCATTGAATACAGTCGAGTGCACGTGTGTCTGGGTCAAAGGTATGCACTCCTTCTCATCCTAGATGCCTTCTCTGCCTTCCACAGCCTGCTGCCTGTTACATCACTTCCCCTCACACACCCCCAACCATCCCAATTCTTCCTGGCCAATGAGCTCCAGCCTTATCTAGGAAAGGGGGAGTAGGTGTAACCATGTGGCAAGATCGGGTCCTCCCCTATCCCAGCTTCTCCACTGTCCCAGCAGGTCAGGATATCAGACAGTCCTCCCCTGACCTTCACCCTTGTAGATAGCAATTCCCAAACAGAGTCAAATTCTCTATATTTATAGTCACAGCCCTGTGCAGCATTTTTCATAAGTTATATAGTAAACGATCTGGATGATTTTGTGCTTCTGGTGCTCTCAGCTGGAAATCAGGCAGCGTTCTTCTATGAAATAGGAAGAAATTACTTTGTATATTTTGTAACATCACCTCTGTGGCCATGACTGCCCACACACTCTGTACATACGTAAGTTAAACCCGGGCAGGGGCTGTGGCCATCTTTGTACTCCGGTGATTTTTAAAAATTGGATTTTTGTACTTGCATTGATTGTATAATTTTGAGACCAGGTCTCATTACATTGCTCAGGCTGGTGTCAAACTCCTGGGCTCAAGCAATCTGCCCTCCTCAGCCTCCCAAAGTGCTGAGATTACAGGCATGAGACACCACACCAGGCCTGATTGTACTTTTTTTTCCCACTGGTTGTGGGAAGGGAGAAATAAAATCATCAAACCCAAAAGGCGTGTGTTCTTTTAATTACAGGGATATAGGGACCTCTTTGGATCTGTTTTTTGTAAATGTGAGTTCTCTTCCCTCACCAGACATCACTACCCACCACTTAGCATCTGACCCTGCAGCTGCATCATTGTGGGGCCTCTTGTTCAAAAACCTGGGAAGAGTGTCATTATGGGCACTAAAAAGGCAAAACTTCATTTTCTGTTATAGTCTCCCTTGAGTCGCCATGGAAATTTTCTATTAAACACCATTCCAAGTAAAAAGTTGAGACTTAAATTCTTAGCATGAATTTCACAGCTCATCTTTACATTGTGCAATGCTGATTTCAGATGCAAACATAAGGCCTATTAATTCGTCTGTGGAATCATTGACATGACGCAGCTCTTATTTGTAGCTCACACATGTATTTTATTCCTGTGAGAACAGGGAGAGCATTGCACAAAACTAGCTCAATTATTTTGATGTCACTTTTTTTTTGACAGAGTGAGATATTGTCTCACTCTGTCACCCAGGCTACAGGGCAGTGGTGCAATCTCTGCTCACTGTAACCTCTGCCTCTCAGGTTCAAGGGATTCTCCTGCCTCAGCCTCCTGAGTAGCTGTGATTACGGATGCACATTGCCACACCCAGCTAATATTTGTATTTTAATAGAGACAGGCTTTCACCATGTTGGCCAGGCTGGGCTCGAACTCCTGACTTCAGGCGATACACCTGCCTCAGCTTCCCAAAGTGCTGGGATTACAGGCTTGAGTCACCATGCCCGGCCTGATTTCACATTTTGTGCACATTCTGCCAATGCTCTCTGCCTTCCTGATGGGTAAGGAAGAACTGAAAGGAAAAAGCAGTGGGCCACCCTTTCCATATTAGCATTTTTCAGCCTAAGTAGTTGGCTACTAAAGGGAAGTGATGTGAGTGAGAAAAACACGATAGGGTTTCTTAGCTGTTCCTTGCTTGTTTGCTTGGAGTGCCATTACCTTTTTGCTGCATTCAAAGAAAGTTCTGCTTTGAATAAAAGGTACAGTCTTTCATTGCTGTGCGTTCTGTCAACCACCTGTGCTAGTCAAAATAATAACATGTTGTCCAGGTGTGGTGGCTCACACCTGTAATCCCAGCACTTTGGGAGGGAGGCTGCGGCAGATCACTTGAGCTGGGAGGTTTGAGACCAATCTGGCCAGCATGGTGATACCCCATCTCTAATAAAAATACAGAACTAGCTGGGCGTGGTGGCAGGTGCCTGTAATTCCAGCTACTCAGGAGGCTGAGGCAGGAGAAACACTTGAACCTGAAAGGTGGAGGTTGCAGTGAGCACTGCACTCCAGCCTGGGCAAAAAGAGTGAAACTCTGTCTCAAAAATAATGTGTTAAGGAAGAGTTGACTTTAAGAAAGGTTTGCACCAGGTACGGTGGCTCATGCCTGTAATCCCAGCACTTTTGGAGGCCGAGGCAGGTGGATCACAAGGTCAGGAGATTGAGACCATCCCGGTTAACATGGTGAAACCCCATCTCTACTAAAAATACAAAAAAAAAAAAAAAAAAAAGAAAGAAAAAGAAATTAGCCAGGCCTGGTGGTGCATGCCTGTAGTCCCAGCTACTCAGGAGGCTGAAGCAGGAGAATCGCTTGAACAGGGAAGGCGGAGGTTGCAGTGAGCTGAGATTGTGCCACTGCACTCCAGCCTAGGCAACAGAGCGAGACTCCATCTCAAAAATATAAAAATAAAATAACAACAAAACGTGTGCAGGACTAAACTGGTCGCGCCCCTTTGGAGGCCAGCTGTGCCGAGAGCTGAATCTGTCTTACGGAGCACAGTGAATTTGGACTTGGAATCACTCAGAGTGCTGGGTTCCACTCGTGGCTCTGTCATTTACTGTCTCAGTAGCAACTTCCTCATCTGGAATATGGGACCGTAACACTTGGCTTTCCTGTGACAATGAAAATGAAGCAATATATGTAAATATTTAGCCAGGGTGGGTTTACTGTAAGTTCTTGCCATGTGGTTCTGCCTCAAAATATAGGGGATGAACATGAATGGCAGATGTACCAGATACACTTCCCATGCTTGCTTGCATTTTTCTTCCTCTGAGTATTTCCACATGACATGCCAAGTCAAGAAGATCGCTATTAACCCAAGAACCTGGGGCCTGGCCTGGCCTGGGGTTATTAGGAGGAGCGAATAAACATCGTGGGGCCTGGGAGCAGTCCTGGACTGGGCTCTGCAGACATGGGGCAGGAGGCAAGGACCACTCAGTATTTCTGGAACAAACCGGTGCTCTGTGAACTCACTTTCTAGTCCCAATCAACAGCAGTGGTAAGTATTATTTTAAAAGGGTTTTCTAGGCCAGGTGCTGTGGCTCACGCCTTTAATCTCAGTACTTTGAAAGGCTGAGGTGGGTGGATCACGAGGTCAGAAGTTCAAGACCAGCCTAGCCAAGATGGTGAAACCCTGTCTCTACTAAAAATACAAAAATTAGCCAGGCAGGTGGCGGGTGTCTGTAATCCCAGCTACTCAGGAGGGTGAGGCAGGAGAATTGCTTGAACCCACGATGCGGGGGAGGTTGCAGTGAGCTGAGACTGCGCCATTGCACTCCAGCCTGGGTGACAGAGCAAGACTCAGACTCAAAACAAAAACAAAAACAAACCCCTTATTTCACTGTATTTTATTCATTGGTCAATCATGAGGTTATAATACATTTTCATACACACAGACTCAATGCATAGACTCAAACATTTTCTTTGTATTCTCTCTTGGGTAGGAAAGAAAGAGAGAGAGAGATGCCAGGCACACTGGCTCACACCTGTAATGCCAGCACTCTGGGAGGCAGAGGTGGGTGGATCATGAGGTCAGGAGTTCGAACCTCGCCTAGCCAACATGGTGAAACCCCATTTCTACTACAAATACACTGCACTTCACGCTGGATCTCAGATCGCTGCAAACTCTACCTCCCAGGTTCAAGCAATTCTCGTGCCTCAGCCTCCCGAGTAGCTGGGCTGCTGCCACCATGCCTGGCTAATTTTTTGTGTGTGTGTATTTTTAGTAGAGACGGGGTTTCACCATGTTGTCCAGGCTGATCTCGAGCTCCTGACCTCAAGTAATCCACCCGCCTCAGCCTCCCAAAGTGCTGGGATTATAGGCAAGAGCCATCACCCCTGGCTGCCTTACAGAATTTAGAATCAACTGAAAAAAATAAGACACAAAAGACAGAATGATGGAGATGAAATTTATTTTATTATTAAGGAAGCTGATTGTAAGAGGCAGCATTTAGAATTGACAGGAGGTGGGGACGGGGAGCTTACTAACACTTTACCTTCCTTGGCATAAGGAAGGTATTGCTCCCCTGTCTTCTAGAATCTTGTGGATAAGAGACCGGGAGCAGAGACAGGCCCAGCAGCCAGCCAGCACTGTCACCAGACACGTGAATGAAGCTACCTTAGAGCATCCAACCAGCATCCTGCCTGACTGGTGGGATCAGCAGAACAGCCCAAAAAACCCCATCCCTGATTGCTGACAATGGAGTACACAAATAAAATGGTGATTAAAAATAAAGGCATTACAATTTTGAGGTTGTTTGTTACACAGCACAAGATAACTGATACAGAATTCAACACTGAAGTGTAGACTGTGGTTTTGGTCTGACATATTTCCTACAGCTCATCACCTAGCCCTTGTCCTTCTTACTGTGGCTCCTTTGGTTAATTCCTTCAAAGAATAAACCTCCTGTCTCTTGCCTGGAGTGGTAAAACAAGTTCACCAGGGGGCATTATTTAATCATTAATTTCAGGCCAGGTACAATTACTCAAGCTTGTAATCCCAGTGCTTTGGGAGGCTGGGGAGAGAAAATCAATTGAGTTCGGGAGTTCAAAACCAGCCTGGCCAACAAAGTGAGACCTTGTCACTACAAAAATTATTTTAGGCCTGATGTGGTGGGTCACACCTGCAATTCCAGTGCTTTGGGAAGGCCGAGGTGGAATTATCACCTGAGGTCAGGCGTTCCAGACCAGCCTGGCCAACATGGCAAAATCCCATCTCTATTAAAAATACAAAACTTATCTGGGCATGGTGAGGGGCACCTGTAATGCCTCAGGAGCTACTCAGGAGGCTACTCAGGAGGCTGAGGCATAAGAATTGCTTGAAACTGGGAGGCACAGGTTGCAGTGAACAGAGAATCACACCGCTGGGTGACAGAATGAAACTGTGTCTTAAAATAACAATAATAATAATAATATTTTAAAATTAGCAGGTATGGTGGCATGAGCCTGAGATCCCAGCTAATTAGAAACTGAGGCAGGAGGATCCCTGCCGCCCAGGAGCTGGAGGCTGCAGTGAGCTCTGATTGTGCCACTGCATAGCAGCCTGGGCAATGGAGCCAGACTCTGTCTCTAAAACAAAAAAAAGAATATGTATTTTTTGAGATGGAGTTTCAGTCTTGTTGCCCAGGCTGGAGTGCAATGGCACAATCTCAGCCCACTGCAACCTCTGCCTCCCAGGTTCAAGTGATTCTCCTACCTCAGCCTTCCATGTAGCTGGGCTTACAGGCACACACCACCATGCCGGCTATTTTTTTGTATTTTTAGTACAAATGGGGTTTCACCATATCAGCCAGGCTGATCTTGAACTTTTGACCTCAGGTGATCCACCTGCCTTAGCCTCCCAAATGCTGGGATTACAGGCATGAGTCACTGTGCCTGGGCTGAAAAAAAAAAAAAAAAAAAAAAAATATATATATATATATATATATATATATATATATATTTAAATTTTTAAACGTTTTAAAATCAATTTTTAAAAAATATAAAATATCTTTTTCTTTTTAAAGACGGGGTTTCACCATGTTGGTCAGGCTGGTCTTTAACTCCCGACCTCAGGTGATCCACCCGCCTTGGCCTCCAAAGTGCTTGGATTACAGGTGTGAGCCACCACACACGGCCATTTTTTTTTTTAATAAAAAAAATATATCATTAGCTTCAGCTTCAAGTCACTGGTGTGTGGTACTAGCAGAGTGAATCATCCTCCCCAGGCCCTGGCTAAGACATGGCCTGTGAGGACAGCATAAATTATGCTGCCATGAAGTAAAATTATGCCTTCTCCTTTGGCTCAGTTTAATTACCTAGGGCTCAAAGGGGCTCTGGAACCTGCCTGTTGGTGCTGAGATTGTACTTTTGCAGTTTTCACTTTGTTGGAGTTTTAGAGAGTCAGTAAATAACATCCCTTTCTTCCCTTACAGAATTTATTTTTTTAATTAATTTTTTTTTTTTGAGGTTGAGCCTTGCTCTATTGCCCAGGCTAGAGTGCAGTGGTGTGATCTTGGCTCACTGAGACCTCTGCTTCCCAGGTTCAGCGATTCTCCTGCCTCAGTCTCCCAAGTAGCTGGGATTACAGGTTGGTGGTGGTGTTTGTTTTTTGTATATTTAGCAAAGATGGCTTTTCATCATGTTGACCAGGCTGGTCTTGAACTCCTGACCTCAAGTGTTCCACCCACCTCAGCCTCCCAAAGTGCTGGGATTACAGGCGTGAGCTACCATGCCTGGCCATCTTATAGAATGTAGAATCAACTGAAAAATAAGACACAAAAGACAGAATGATGGAGATGAAAATATTCATTTTATTATTAAGGAAGCTAATGGTAAGATACATCATTTAGAATTGCCAGGAGTGGGGACAGGGGAGCTTACTAACACTTCACCTTTGAATTAAATCAGTTTTCTTATTGAGGCTTGGGCAGAGGTAAATCTTCAGGTCTCTCCCATGGGAGTGGAGCCCGTCCTGAGGTTCCCCAGCTGATCTGTGGGTGGGCAAGCTCCAGAGCTCAGCATACTCTGTTTCTCCTGCCAGATTTGCCAATCAGATGCCAGGGAGGCTCAGATGTGACAGCTGTGGATGCTTTATGGAGTTGAAGTTTCTGCTCTAATACCCTAATAGGGTCAGGTGCAGTGGCTCACACCTGTAATCTGAGCACTTTGGGAGGCCGAGGCAGACAGATCACTTCAGGAATTCAAGACTAGCCTAGCCAACATGGAGAAACCTCGTCTCTACTAAAAATACAAAAATTAGCCAGGCATGTGGTACATGCCTGTAATTTCAGCTACTCAGTAGGCTGAGGCAGGAGAATCGTGTGAGCCTGGGAGGCAGAGGTTGCAGTAAGCCAGGATTGCCACTGCACTCCAGCCTGGGCAACAGAGCAAGACTCAGTCTCAAAAAATAAAAAACGAACAAACATCATAATGAGAAATGTAGCTGAGTTTCCTAAATAGGCATTTTCTCTTTCTTATATAACCTTCATTCTTTTGGAGGCATTTTCTTTAAAAAAAAAATTTTTTTTTCTGAGTCGGTATCCCTCTTCGTCACTCAGGCTGGAGTGCAGTGGCATGATCATGGCTCACTGCAGCCTCCAACTCCTAGGCACAAGAACACCTCCCCCCTCCGCCTCCCAATGTGCTGAGATACAGGCATGACCCACTGCACCCAGCCCTGCATAGGCATTTTCCACTCATCAGCTCATGGACTCATCACTGCCTAAGGAGATAGGAATTACTGATCTCCACTTCATAGAGATGCAGAAGCTTCCAGGAACATAGCTGATGGTCCCAAGATGAGAGGATTAAGATCCAGAGCCCACCCCTCAGACCACTGAATTGTGCTGTCTTGGGACTCACTGACTTCACAGTACTCAATTATTAGAGCAGGACAGACACATGGGGGTTGAAGGATCAAGGCATCCAGAAGGAAGAACTTAGAGAAAGGCTGAGGAGACATCCAGGTATAAGAGTAAAGAGCAGGCTGAGGACAGTGGCCAAGGCCTGTAATCTCAGAACTTTGGAAGGCCGAGGCGAGTGTATCCCTTGAGGTCAGGAGTTCGAGATCAGCCTGGCCAACATAGTGAAACCTGTCTCTACTAAAAATACAAAAAATTAGCCAGGCATGGTGGCATGGGCCTGTAATCCCAGCTACTCAGGAGGCTGAGGCATGAGGATCACTTGAACCTGGGAGGTGGAGGTTGCAGTGAGCTGAGATCATGCCACTACACTCCAGCCTAGGCAACAGAGTAAGACTCTGTCTCAAAAAAAAGAGTAAAAGGCCAGAGACTCAGTCTTACTGAAAGTCATAAACAGGTGACAAACAGCCACCACTCTCTGTGCCAGCCTCCAAGCCCAGCTCCTTAGTCCTCAGGAGTGACCTAATCCTTGCATCCCACAACCCCATGACGTATTTGTGGGACACATTGTGTGTGTCAAGGCAGAAAGATCACTTCCCAAATCCCCAGGGCTGTGGGGAAAGGAAACGAGGTTGTCACCATGGGCCACCTCAGAACCAGGTGAGAACCTTGAGGTTGACTGCTGGAGGGAAGAAGCTCTCTCCTTTCTTCCCTCCAGTAGCCAATGAGGACATTTGTTGGCTGGCTTGCTATTTTTCTCAGTTATGTTAACTTCATTTAATAGGCTGTAACAGTCTCAAAAATCTTTCTCTTCATAATCAGATGCTTGCAAAACTTATGGCCTTTGAGCTTAAACCTGGAGCTTTACTCCACCTGTAATATGATTTTCCTGCCACGGTGCATTCTGAAGTTCTTCTGAAGAAAACCGAATCCAATCCAAACCTCTGTGAAAGCCGGTCTCCTTGACTCAACGCTGTGGTCCAAGGAATTTTTCCCACAAAAATATTTCTAGGCAGTGCATGGCACCTATCCCTGCTAAGGCTGCCATCTTTAGACTTTTTTTTTTGAGACAGAGTCTTACTCTGTCTCCCAGGCTGGAGTGCAGAGGCATGATTTCAGCTCACTGCGACCTCTGCAGTTCAAGTGATTTTCCTGCTTCAGCCTCCCGAGTAGCTGGGATTACAGGTGCCTGCCACCAGGCCCAGCCAGCTAAATTTTTTTTGTATTTTTGAATTCCTGGCCTCATATGATCACCCCTCCCTCGCCTTGGCTTCCCAATGTGCTGGAATTACAGGGGTTAGTCCCCAGGCCTGGCCACCAATGGAGAAATTTGGTTAGAAAATTGTGCCCACTTCTGGCCCTGTTTCTGCCTCTGGCCCCACCATTCTGTCTGAAAAGGATAAGAAAATGTTGTTCCTTCTGTTAAAATAATTAAATGACAGGCCATTAGCCTGAAGTGACTCTAACACCCTGGAATCCTACATAAGCAAACAGAAACATAACTTAGAATTTAAAAGAAAAGGAATCTTAAGCTCAGCCCAGCACTGGAGTCTACATGGGCATTAGCTGTCTTCTCATTAACCTCCCACTGGGATAGGCCAAGTAAAGCAATGGCTCAGACTTCAACCAATCACAGACTTTCTTTGCTCTGTTTCTTTATTCACCCTATAAAAACCTTGCCTTCCT